CCACAATCATTATTTTATCCTATACTCCTTTGATATATTCCTTAATACTTACGCATTATATGAGGTAAGTGAATAATCACTGAAATGTTGTTGAAAATAATAATTGAATTCCCTTTCCTTTTAGATTCTTCTTTAGAACACTTGAGCCACAGGCGCCGAGCCCATTCAGTAATATTTTAAGGGTGGCACTCGTAGCTCAGTGGATAGGGCGCTGGCCACATACACCAAGGCTGGTGGGTTTGAAGTTGGCCGGGGCCAGCTTAATAGCAATGACAACTGCAACAAAAAAAATAGCCAGGCATTGTGGCAGTACTTGTAGTCCCAGCTACTTGGGAGGCAGAGGCAAGAGAAACTTAAGCCCAAGAGTTTGAGGTTGCTGTGAGCTGTGACACCACGGCACTCTGCCCAGAGACATAGTGAGACTCTATCTCAAAAAAATAGTAATATTTTAAAATTACCCTGTACTTGGCTTTAAAAAATTTATTTTGCCACAGTGCTATAACATGTACCACTGAAAATATTTTGTAGAAACAAAGTCTCGCAATGTTGCCCAGGCTAGCCTCAAATGATCCTCCTGCCTCAGCCTCCCAAAGTGCTGGGATTACAGGTTTGGGGTATGGCCCTAGCCAGCAATGATTTTACTATAAGCAATCTATACTTAAAAATCACTCATCAAAGAGATCACTTTTTGGTTTTAGCCAACATAGGTTTTAATTATAAAAAGGCATTATATTTATCAGTGTTTTTTATTTAAACAGTTAAGTCTCTGCTTTCTACAACTTGTCCTTGTTGTTCCCACAGATATTAAGATAAATTAGCCTAAGAGAAAATCTCCTATCTCTGCCCTAAATTATCCAATGATTGACCTCTTAAGAGGCACTTAAACGTATTCTTCCTATAATGTGCCTAAGAATCAATGATTTGCTGGGAATTAATGAGGGCAAGGTACACCTTATGTTATCTCTACGTCACTAGGGTTATCTGTATCCTCTGAAGTAAAAACAACTACCTTGCATCATTACCAGGAGGATTATAAATATTGTATATAAAATGCATAGTCTGGCTCGGTGCCTGTGGCTCAAGTGGCTAAGGTGCCAACCACGCACACCTAAAGTGGTGGGTTCGAATGCTGCCCGGGCCCACCAAATAACAATGATGGCTGCAACCAAAAAATAGCCAGGCATTGTGGCAGGAGCCTGTGGTCCCAGCTACTTGGGAGGCAGAGGCAGGAGACTCTCTTGAGCCCACGAGTTGGAGGTTGCTGTGAGCTGTGATGCCACAGCACTCTACCCAGAGGGATAGCTTGAGGCTCTGTCTCAAAAAAAATAAATAAATAAAATGCATAGTCTCTCCCACATAGAAAATATTCAGTATTACCTATCATTTTCATTGTTTGGAAAGATTCCATAGTTCTCTCATTCTATGATCCCCATGCCAATGAGAAGTATGCTGCTTTGTAAACCAACCTTAGGGAAAATGATTTCTTTCAAACCTAAATATCAGGGTTACAGACTTTCTTAAAGAAGATGCTTACACATAAATACACACAAAAAACAGAAAAATAAATTGTACCTAGCAGAAAAAGAAGTGACAGGAACATCTACGATTCCTTTCATTGCAGACATGACTTTGTCCAGGTCTTGGGTATGGTTAACATTGAATTCTACTCGGTGGGTTCCCTCTGTAGGGTAGCTGAGTGCTGTGGAAGGATGTATGGGCTTGGAGGTACAAGCGCCTAAAGAAACAATTGTAGGGAAATGGGAGTTTCTGTGGTTTATTTTTTAAGATTAAAAAGATAAGGTATGATAGGCAAAATTTATAAGAAATGATTTTTTTTTTTGAGACAGTCTCACTATGTTGCCCTTAGTAGAGTGCCATGGCATCACAGCTCACAGCAACCTCAAACTCTTGGGCTCAAGCAATTCTCTTGCCTCAGCTTCCTGAGTAGCTGAGACCACAGGCGCCCGCCACAACGCCCAGTCATTTTTTTTTTTTTTTTGGTTGCAGTTGTCGTTGTTTAGCAGGCCCAGGCCGGCTCAAACCAGCCACCTTCAGTGGATGTGGCTGGCGCTCCACTCACTGAGCTACGGGTGCTGAAAGCCAAGAAATGACTTTTTAAAAGATCTATTTTCTATGATTATATAGTGTGCGCACACACACATATATTCCCCTTAGATATACAGTCTCCATAATTTAGGCCTTTGGCACGAACATACAAAATCAAATTATTTAGAGAACTATTTTTCAGAAGGTCTTAAATTTCAGAAAAACTTGGACAAGAAAGACTGACTCACGGATTTTTATATGATACCTAGAATTGTTTACTGCTTGGTAGATCTACCCATGTAAACCATGATTCAGGTGGGAAATGCTCATAATCTGTATGAGCATGTTAATCCAGATCATGTTTTCATAAAAGCTTCAGCTCAAAATGAATAAACTACAAACATTTATTAAAATAAATATGCTGAATTTCCTTATTGTGCTGGGCATAAATAAGCATTCAATAGAACCCAGATATCTATTTAATAGACATAACAAGTGTTTTCTGGAAAGGCCTGAGCTTTTAATTCAACGAGCATGTTTCCAGCCTGATGCTAGCTACTGTGCCACACAGCAAGAAATCACAATGTAGCAACAAAGAGGTCACATGCAGGTGGTGCCTGTAGCTCAGTGGGTAGGGTGCTGGCCACATGCACCAGGGCTGGTGGGTTTGAACACAGCCCAGGCCTGCTAAAAACAAACACACACACAAAAATAGCCGGGTGTTGTGGTGGGCACCTGTAGTCCCAGCTACTCAGGGAGGCTGAGACAAGAAAATCACTTAAGCCCAAGAGTTTGAGGTTGCTGTGAGCTGTGACACCATAGCACTCTACCAAGGGCAACAAAGTGACTATCTCAATAACAAAAAAAAAAAAAAAAAATAGACTTCTCATGTTCTCTCTATTGATCAAGGATAAAAATGGCTGAGCACAGCGGCTCACCTCTGTACTCCTAGCATTGTGGGAGGCCAAAGCCAGGTGGATTGCTTGAGTTCAGGGGTTCAAGACCAGTTTGAATAAGAGTGAGATCCTGTCTCTATGAAAAAGAGAAAAAGTAGCCAGGCATGGCAATGCATGCCTGTAGACCCAGCTAATTAGGAGGCTGAGACAAAAAGATTGATCCAGCCCAAGAGGTTGAGGTTGTAAGCTGTGACACTATGGCACTCTACCCAGGGTGATAAGAGTGAGACTCTGGGCTCGGTGCCTGTGGGTCAAGTGGCTAAGGCAGCAGCCACATACACCTAAGGTGGCGGGTTCGAATGCAGCCCGGGCCCGCCAAACAACAATGACAGCTGCAACCAAAAAATAGCTGGGTGTTGTGGCGGGCGCCTCTGGTCCCAGCCACTTGAGAGGCTGAGGCAGGAGACTCGCTTGAGCTCAGGAGTTGGAGGTTGCTGTGAGCTGTGATGCCACAGCACTCTACCCAGGGGGACAGCTTGAGGCTCTGTCTCAAAAAACAACAAAAGGGCAGTACCTGTGGCTCAGTGGGCAGGGCACCGGCCCCATATACCAAGGGTGGTGGGTTCAAACTCGGTACCGGCCAAACTGCAACATAAAACTAGCCAGGTATTGTGGCAGGCGCCTATAGTCCCAGCTACTCTGGAGGTTGAGGTAAGAGAATCCCCTAAGCCCAGGAGTTGGAGGTTGCTGTGAGCTGTGACGCCACAGCACTCTACTGAGAGTGACAAAGACTCTGTCTCAAAAAAAAATGAAATAAATGAATAAATAAATAAATAAAAATACAATCCCCTCCCCACTCCTAAAGCAGTTAAAACTTTACAAGAAAACCATTCTAAAGTTTCAGAAGATTTATGGAAAATGTTGATTATGAACGAAGAGGCTTCTCACCAAGCCCTTTAGCCAACCAGTTGTTGACTCCTTGGGGGGCAGCGTCATAGGCTGTGTGGGGAGAGTAGATACCAACTCTGTTCTCTAGAGCTTGGATCACCAGGCGCTCCTTCCAGGTTTTCCAGGTTATGCGCTTCATGGGTCGGAAAATAGGTGGGTGGTAGGAGAGAATGAGGTCCGCCTTCTTTTGCAGCGCCTCGTTCATCACTTCCTCAGTCAAGTCATTAGTTAGGAAGAGTGTTTTTACAGTATGTGGTGGGCTTGGTTCCACCAGTAATCCAACATTGTCCCAACTCTCAGCAAATGAGAGGGATGCAAAGTCATTCAAGGAGGAAAGGAGAGCCTTCAAATCCATGAAGGAACGGGAAAAAGTGCAGATCGGGGAATCTGCAAGTTGGACTGTGGTGGGGACCAGGCGTACACAAGATGATAACATATGGAAATCAGGTCAAACCGGGTGTCTGAAGTCAAAACACAGAAAATGGTACACACATATGCTTTATGCCCAGATCTTTGAGGCCTCAAAGAATATGGGCAAAAGAGCTGCCATTAGAGATCTGGGTTCTGAGATCAGCGGCCATTAGTGACTCTGACACTTGCAAGTACATTGTAGCTTAAGTAAGTCATTTACCCTCACGGAGTCTGTTTTCTCACCGACAGATTGGAGATGCTAAAACCTACCTCACAGGTGATCCAGGGGGGCTAATGAATTAATGTCACCTAGCACAGCCTGGTACATAGTACACAAATGTTTATCTCCTCCACACAGCCACCACAGCTTTGTTCTTATCCTCCCTACCCTTGCTTCGACCACCATCCTCCCTATAATATTACCATTCCTTTCCCCAAGACCCCCCTTTGACTTCCTAAATAAAGCTTTTCTTGACAAATCTTCCTTTTTGATGTTTTTCTCTAGCCCTCCCCTCCCCCTATTACTCTCATGTTATAAAGTTCTGTTGGTCTGTCTCCCTTAGTGTGGTAAAGCTACTGGAGGATAGGAACTACCTTTAATAAATCTCAGTATCACCAGCATAAGCCAGCACTGAATGCTTGCTGCAGAGATTGACAGTCTCCCTCTCATGACTGCAACAGTATTGAGTCAGCATGACATATATTGGGACTAAAAAATGCTTTATCAAAAAATTTAAAATTATCAGCAACAAGAATTAAGGGAAACATAGGTAAGTCACTTTACAAATGGGCAAGATTAAGGCAGGAGCTGCTGCTCCTGAACCAACCAACATCTTCAAAAGGCCAAGCTCAAGAGGTAGGTGTAGGGCATTTAGCTCACACAGCCTGTAAGCCTTCTAAACGTCTCCACATCCAACACAAGACTGGAAAGCTTGGTAATACAGGGAAGGTGGATGAGCTGGAAAAATATTGTTGGCTCTGGTTGGGCATGGTGGCTCATGCCTCCAATCCTAGCACTCTGGGCGGCAAGACCAGCTTGAGCAAGAGTGAGACCTGTCTCTACTAAAAATAAAAAAATTAATTGGGCATTGCGGCCAGTGCCTGTAGGTCCAGCTAGTTGGGAGGCTGAGGCAGAAGGATTGATTCAGCCCAGAATTTTGAGGTTGCTGTGAGCTGAGCTGAGCTGAGGCCACAGCCCTGGGCAATTGAGTGAGACTCTTTCATAAATAAAATAAATACATAAATAAGTAAAGAAACTGTTGACTGTAAAATATGAAAACCATAAAATTAGTAAATACTCAGTCAAATATCTACAAAGGATAATGTTGTCAACTTCATTTTGAAGAAAGACATTTCATGCATGGTATGTATCATAATTAACAAGTCAGCCTAACCAATTATAAATTTAATGAAGTATCCACAACCCACTTATTTCAAAAGCAAATTATTTTCAACATTTCTACTGCAAAAATATTTAATGAGATGTGCGACCTCCAAAAGCCACTCGAGGTCTTGAAATATCTAGCGGTCTTGATACCACTCCTCTTCTAAATGTAGCAGGCTCCAAAGTTAATGAAGACAATGGGAAGGTGCAAGCATGTGGGTAAGAGCACTAATGCTGAACACACAGAGAATCTCAGAGACTCGGCAGGGATTGTAACAATGAGCTAATTACTTAAACTCTGCAGTTTCTTCCTCTGAGGAAAGGAAATGGTACCCAGTTCACGCTGTCGTGAGATTTACACATTTGTAAAGCTGGAAATGACAGTCCTAGAGTAACCCCCGCGTTTGCAATTGTTCAGTAACATTTACAATTTGCAAAGTGCTCCCTCTAAGAGAGGGAGTAACTTTATCTGTTACTCATTTCTGAGCCACTTCAGGCCTTTTCCATGAAAGTGAAGAGGAAGGTGACACAGTTAAGTCCTTGAGTCAGCAGGACCCCCGCCCCCGAAGTGCCCTAGGTTCCTGCCCCAGGCTCATCTGTCCTTTTCCTCTGCAGCACCACCGTAACAGTCAGAGATTGCCCTAATCAGCACCTAGCACGAGAGTCACAACTAACCACGCGACAGTTTAAATCGCCCACTACTCACCGACCGGAAACTTTCTCTCGCGTCACTTCCGATCCTGCGCCGGAGCTCCTGACACTGTGACAGCGGGTTGGGGGAAGGGGCCGGGCGGAAGTAGTTCTGTTCATTTCACCGCAAAGTATGGGGCACCCTTAGAGGTAATTTCGGCTTATGCTTCTCGTCCCGTGTCGTTGTTAATAGAGCTCCTTCTCGTCCCGTGTCGTTGTTAATAGAGCTTCTTTTCACTGTCAGATTTCAAGTGGGTGGGAATAAATGACAGTTCTGGCCGTTTTGGTTTGAGATAAGAAGAAAGGAGCGAGGAGGTGACAGTTTCTCTATTAGTCCCGCGCTCAACTACCGCTAGTCCAAAAAAAATTACGATTTTGAACCCAACTGGTGTGGGCATCTGTGGTTGCATCTTTCCTGCTTTAACAACGGCTGTGCCAACCGTACTGCATAAGTAAGTATGGAGTAACGTTATTCATTCTTTCACTTACTCAGATGCTTGCTGAGCTCTTTGTTGTCCTGTTTTAGTTTTTAGTACTCAGTGGACATTCGGGGCGGCGAGGCTGTTGTTGGAACGTCAGAGTAAATAAAGTTCATAGTATTTAGTGGCAAGCGCAATAGGGAAAGGAAATAGACCAGGTCCTAGAGTTAAAAGTTTTGTTTTGCTTTGCGACAGGGGGCTTGCTCTGTCCTAGGCTAGAGTGTATTGGTGTCATCATAGCTCACGGCAACCTCAAACTTCCGGTTTAAGGGATCCTCCGCCTCAGCTTCCAGAGTAGCTAGAACTACAAGTACGCACTACTGTGCCTAATTTTTCTATTTTTTGTAGAGAGGGGCATCTTGCTCTTGCTCAGAGTGAACTCCTGATGTCAAGCAGTCCTCTTGCCTTTGCCTCCCAAGGCACTAGGATTACAGGCATGAGCCATCCGCCCCACCTAAAGCAGTTTTAAATACGGTTGTCGGGGCAATTAAACCTGAAACTTGGCTCGGCACCCGTATCTCAGTGGCTAGGACGCCGGCCACATACACCGAGACAGGCATTTGGAACCTGGCCCAGGCCTGCTAAACAATGACAACTGCAACAAAAACATAGCTGGGCGTTGTGGTGGGCGCCTATAGTTGCTACTTGGGAGGCTGAGGCAAGAGAATCACTTAAGCCCAACAGTTTGAGGTCGCTGTGAGCTGTGACACTACGGCACTCTACCGAGGGTGACACAGTGAAACTCTGTCCCCCCCCCACACAAAAAAATTAAACCTGAAACTTAAGAAGAGACTTGCAGGTAAGGAAATTAACAGATGTCGAGTGTAAGTGTTCCTGGAAAAGGTAAAAACCAGTGCCTGCTCCCTAAGCTGGGAAGACACCTGGCTTGTTGGAAGACTTGCAAGGAGGCCCTTGAAGAAGAGTAAGAGAAGTGGGAAATTGGGGGACGTGAGTCGGGTAGGGTTTCTCATCACTTATGTAGGGGGATTTTTACTAGAGTGGTGCTCCTCAAGGATTTTTCTTTCTTTTTTCTTTTTTTCTTTTTTGAGACAGAGTCTCACTGGGGTGAGATCACAGCAACCTCAACTCTTGGGCTTAAGTAATTCTCTTGCCTCGGCCTCCCAAGTAGTTGGGACTACACGTGCCGCAACAACAGCGGGCAATTTTTTTGTTGTAATTGTCGTTGTTTAGCAGCCCCAGGCCGGGTTGGAACCTGCCAGCCCCAGTGTATGTGGCTGCCGCCCTAAGCGCTGAACTGCAGGCGCCGAGCCAAGGATTTTTCTTTTAAATATAAGGTAAAGATGAGCGTGTGTGAGTTAAGATGAGAGAAAAATGATCTTAATTCTTTTTTCTTTTGGGAACAGAGACTTATTTTTGTGCATCTCCCGGTAAGAGTGAGATATTAAATAGTCCTTCCTGAAGCCATCAAGAAGAAAAATGGTAAGCTTTGCAGAATTATTATGAAATATTTCATAAAACATTGTTAGTAATTTTTTAGAAATGCAGTCAAGGGAAATAAAAGTACATGGAAATTTTAGTGGCAAGACAGAAAAGTAGGCTGTAGGCATGCAATGTTGAATGATTCATTAAAAACCAGAAATAAGCAAAATTATTTTTATTTATTTTTTTTTTTTCTTTGAGACAGAGCCTCAAGCTCTCCCCCTGGGTAGCGTGCCGTGGCACTACAGCTCACAGCAACCTCCAACTCCTGGGCTCAAGCGAGTCTCCTGCCTCCGCCTCCCAAGTAGCTGGGACCACAGGCGCCCGCCACAACGCCCGGCTATTTCTTGGTTGCAGCCGTCATTGTTGTTTGGCGGGTCCGGGCTGGGGACTCGAACCCGCCACCCTAGGTGTACGTGGCTGGCGCCCTAGCCGGTTGAGCTATAGGCGCCGAGCCGCAAAATTATTTTTAAGTTTGTAATGTTTTCAATTAAAATGCACAGAATTTAACTTTATGGGAAAAGATTATTGACAAGTTAGAGATGGAAAGGGGAAGTTGGATGAGAAGAAAATAACTAAGTGTAATATTTTCTTTATTTTTTTTGAGACAGAGTCTCATTATGTTGCCCTCAGTAGAGTGTCGTGGTGTTACAGCTCACAGCAACTTCCAACTCTTGGGCTTAAGCAATTCTCTTGCCTCAACTTCCCAAGTAGTTGGGACTACAGGCGCCTGCCATAACGCCCGGCTATTTTTTGTTATAGTTGTCATTGTTGTTTAGCAGGCCCGAGCTGAGTTCGAACCTGCCAACTTCGGTGTATGTGGCTGGCACGATAACCACTGTGCTACGGGTGCCGAGCTGAAGTGTAATACTTTCAACTGGATTCTTTTGCTGTGGACCTAAAGTGGGAAACTAGAACTTGAAGTGGAAGAAAAGCAGTGAGAATAGTACCCTGCTCCTTTCACACATGCTTTTATCTTTATCTAATCTGCATCTGGCTATACTGTCTAACTGCTATATACTATTGTAGGAAGAGAAATGGAAAAGGGGCGAGGCATGGTGGCTCACATCTATAGTCCTAGCACCCTGGGAGGCCAAGGCAGGTGGATTGCTTGAGTTTAGGAGTTGGAGACCAGCCTAAGCAAAAGTAAGGCCCACTCTCTACTAAAAGTAGGAAAACTAGCCGGGTATTGTGGCAGGCACCTGTAGTCCCAGCTACTCGGGAGGCAGAGGCATAAGGATTGCTTGAGTCCAAGAGTCTAAGGTGATCTATGACACTATGACATTCTACTCAGGGTTACAGAGTGAGACTCTGATTCACAAAAAAAAAAAAATATATATATATATATATATAAAAAATATATCTTTCTGCTATCACTTTTCAATAAATAATGATGTTGGTGAATTGCCATATGAATCAATAATACTAACATGCCAATTTTTAAATTTTTATTGGTGAAAAAATTAAAAGTTAAAATAATTATTTCCATCAGGGCGGCGCCTATGGCTCAAAGGAATAAGGCGCTGGCCCCATATGCTGGAGGTGGCAGGTTCAAACCCACCCCAGCCAAAAACTACAAAAAAAAAATTAATAATAATAATTACTTCCATCACAATATTTGGTTCCAAACTTTTAGCATCGATAGAACCTTTTTTTTGGAGACAGGATCTCACTGTTGCCCTGCCTAGGTAGAGTGCTGTGGCGTCATATCTCACAACAATGCAAACTCTTGGGCTCAAGCAATCCTCTTGGCTCAGCCTAAGGATAAGTAGCTGATACTACGGGCACGTGTTACAAAGCCCAGCTATTTTTAGAGATGGGGTCTTGCTCCTGTTCAGGCTGGTCTCAAACTCCTAAGCTTAAGCAATCCACCTGCTGTGGCCTCTTACTGTCTGTTTTTAATTCACATTATCATCTTGAACATGTAGTCAGAGAAATAAAACAGTGCATAAAGTCACCTGAAGAAATTTCATTTGTTCTCGCATTCTTTCTTCCTTACAGTCTGTGACATTGCATACTGATGTAGGTGATATTAAAATAGAAGTCTTCTGTGAGAGAACACCCAAGACGTGTGAGGTGAGTACCATTATTTACACATTAAATATCAGCTAAAGCAACAGGATAACCATTTGGAAATCAACTTATCTAACCCGAACAACAACAAAAGCTTCTGTAAAAAAAAAGCATTGTAAGGAAAAACTAGCCATAAATCATCTGGCCTGATTTCCACTTGTTTTTCCTGATGTTAAAGATGGATCAAAGAAAAGGTAGATAATTTTTCTGTAACCATAGAATGGCCAGCATCTTTCTATTACGGCTCATTTTTCCTCAGAAACATAATCATCAGGATATTAATGAACCGTCCTATCCATTATTTCACCTGTTTAAATGACAAGGATAAAAGGAAAAGAGTCAGCTGCATGTACGTATTCATTCATACATTCACGCATGAATTGTGAAAGTTGTCTTGTCAAGGTCTGGGGATACAGTGATTAGCAGCAGCTGTTTCTTACCCTCATGGACCTACTATTCTAGTTGGGAAAACAGGGTGGAAAAATTAAATAATTCTAAAAGGTGATAATGCCTTGAGAGAAATAAGGGTTGAGATAGAGGATAATGGGGAAGGAATGACTTAAAGGGAAAAGGTGAGGGCAGGCATAGTCAAAAGGGTAGTACTTTGATTGCAGGAGGTGTGAAGTCATCTCCATGGAAAGAGGTACAAAGAGATCATAATAGGTCTGGAGATAACAGACACAGAGCCCCCAGAGTGGGAAAATCTGCCCTGTTTGGATAAATTGTCAGAATGTTGATGGGGTTAATGTAGTAACAGGAAGAGGGTAGAGATAAGCCAGTCCTCCAGGGCTTATTAGGCCCTCCTGAAAATTTTGCATTTTATTCCAACAGCAAAGGAAGCTATTGAAGTGTTTTAGACAGGGAAGTAGGGTTGTTCAAAGGAGTGCCTAAAAGTTACAGTTTAAACATGCTGCTATAGTTGTACTCAGCAAGTATAATTGGTTCTTTGTCCTAAATGGGTTTCTGCTATATCATTTTTCAATCATTGTTTTTATTTTCTTCAGAATTTCTTGGCTCTTTGTGCCAGTAATTACTACAATGGCTGTATATTTCATAGAAATATCAAAGGTTTCATGGTTCAAACAGGAGATCCAACAGGTAAGTTATTCCATTAACTAAAACCTAGGGAATTAGATATATAGTCTAAAGAAGAGGGTAAAAGAAACATACAAAAAGAAAAGCATGTGGATTTTTTTTTTTTAAGAGACAGAGTCTCACTTTGTCGCCCTCTGTAGAGTGCTTTGGCGTCACAGCTCAGAGCAACCTCCAGCTCTTGGGCTTAGGTGATTCTCTTGCCTTTCGAGTAGCTGGGACTACAGGTGCCCACCACAATACTCGGTTATTTTTTTATTGCAGTTTGGCCAGGGTGGGTTCAAACCCACGACCCTCGGTATGTGGCACTGGCGCCCTACTCACTGAGCCACAGGCACTGCCCAGCATGTGGAGTTTTTATAACTGGGCCACCTTACCATAGCAAGACTTTTCTTTTTTTTTTAAAGACGGAGTCTCACCCTGTAGCCTGGGCTAAGATGCAGTGGGATCATCATAGCTCACAGCAACCTTGAGCTCCTGGACTTAAGTGAGTCTCCTCCTCAATCTCTTGAGTAGTTTGAGACTACAAGGATGTGCCACCCCTGCCCAGCTGAATTTTTCTACTTTTTGTAGAGATGGTGTCTTGCTCTTGTTCAGGCTAGCCTCGAACTTCTGGCCTCAAGCGGTCTGTTTTGGTTTTGTTTTTGTTTTGTTTTTTAGTTGGGGTTTTTTTTTTTTTTTTGAGACAGAGTCTCACCATGTTGCCCATGGTAGAATGCCATGGCATCACAGCTCACAGCAACCTCAAACTCTTGGGCTCAAGCAATTCTCTTGCCTCAGCCTCCCAGGTAGCTGTGACTACAGGCACCTGCCACAATACCTGACTATGTTTTTGTTGCAGTTGTCATTGTTGTTTAGCAGACCCAGGCCCAGTTCAAACCGGCCTGCATTGGTGTACATGGCTGATGCCCTACCCACTGAGCTACAGGCACTGCTAAGCTATCTGGTTTTTTTGGTATTTTATTCTTTATTTCTGTAAAGTTAAATTTGGGAAAGTACAAGAGGCCATATCAAATTTAATGTAGCCTTAAGTTTTAGGAAATGAACCCTTTTCAACTTTAGATACTTTTTTTGATTTGCTTGTTTTGTAATATAGGTACTGGAAGAGGAGGTAGCAGTATCTGGGGCAAGAAGTTTGAGGATGAATATAGTGAATACCTTAAGGTATATCCCAGTGTTTCAAATACCTATTTTCTCATGCCTGGTTACACTGAGAAACATGATACATGTGTTACAGTAATACAAGTAAACATTATTACTAAATTAATATACTTCTTTGTAGTTTTGTACACTTATTAAATGATCTCAGGGAGAAAGAAAATATCAGTGGCAGTTCTGGCCCAACATGTATACTGAAATCTCACCGTCTCGTAGACCTTGAGAGTAAGTGAGCTCATCTTTGAGCCCAATCTGAAGTATTTGACTAGTAATATACTGAAAGAACTTAATATCTCACTATAAAATTCATGCTGAATGACATCAATCAGTGGCATTATTTTTTAGAGACAGAGTCTCACTTTGTAGCCCTTGGTAGAGTGCCATGGTCACAGCTCACAGCAACCTCCAGCTCTTGGGCTTAGGCAGTTCCCTTGCCTCAGACTGCCAGGTAGCTGGGACTAGAGGCACCTGCCACAACACTTGACCATTTTTCTGTTGCAGTTTGGCCGAGGCCAGCTTTGAACCTGCCACCCTCGGTATATGGGGCTGGCGCCCTACTCACTGAGCCACAGGCGCCACCCTTAGTGGCCTTTTTTGAGAGTGGGGAGGAAAGACCATCAAACCTCCTGGTTGCAATATTGCCCATGATCAGTCCCCAACTTTCATCCTTTTCCCTTTATTCCCCCACTTTCTTTTTTTCTGAGACAGAGTCTCAGCATGTCACCCTCGGTAGAGTGCTGTGGTGTCACAGCTCACAGCAACCTCAAACTCCAAGTAGCTGGGACTACAGGCGCCTACCACGATGCCCAGCTATTTTTTTTGTTGCGGTCGTCATTGTTGTTTAGCAGGCCTAGGCAGGGCTCGAACCCACCACCCTCCATATATGTGGTTGGAGTCCGACCCACTGAGCTACAAGTGCTGCCTCCCCCACTTACCTTTTATTAGTATAGTCAGGTACAAGTGCAGTTTTGTTACATTAATTCATCACACAGTGGTGAAGTCAGGGCTTTATTTTTTGTTAGATATTTGGAATTTTTATATTAACTTGACTTAATACTTGTGGTAGATCTCAGCTAGGTTAAAGAGGTGTGTGTATAAATAGATCTGCACCATGGTAGTAAAAGTAGAGATTTTTAATTTTTCTGCCTTTTAAAACTTTTTAAAGTTATTTTCTAAAATTAAAAGTAGGCCATGACTGGGCAGCGCCTGTGGCTCAGTGGGTAGGGCACTGGCCCCATATACTGAGGGTAGCAGGTTCGAACCTGGCCCTGGCCCAACTGCAATAAAAAAATAGCTGGGCATTGTAGTAGGTGCCTGTAGTTCTAACTACTCGGGAGGCTGAGGCAAGAGAATAGCCTAAGCCCAGGATTTGGAAGTTGCTGTGAGTTGTGACGCCACTGCACTCTACTAAGGGCAATAGAATGAGACTTGTCTCTAAAAAAAAAATAGGCCATGACAATTTTTTTTTTTTAAAGATTTAAATTTTTATTTATTTATCTTGCCGTTTTTGGCCAGGGCTGGGTTTGACCCGCCACCTCTGGCATATGGGACCAGTGCCCTACCCTTTTGAGCCATAGGCACCACCCGGCCATGACAATTTTTAAAAATTGGTTCCACTTCCCAGAGATAACTTCAATTAACTATTGTGTGGTCTTTTAAACTTTATATCTGCATATGATGATAACTTTGTAATTAGTAGAAAGGTAATAAATTCTCAATCAGAATATGCCATTGAGTGTATTATATTTCAGGTACATTAAAATATGCCCACAAAAATTCTGAAAAGAAATTCATTGTTGGTGGCACCTGTGGCTCAAGGAGTAGGGCGCCAGCCCCATATACTGGAGGTGGTGGGTTCAAACCCAGCCCCAGCCAAAAACTGTAAAAAAAACCCAAATAAACAAAAAAGAAATTCATTGTTGTGTGTATCTCTGGATGATGAAACTAGGAATAATTTGAATTAGGAACTAAGTTTTCTGTGCATTAACTACTACATTAATGACTGCTTCCCTATACCTGTTGAAAACCAGTGATTGTGAGAAAATCACTTGTTAAACATTTTAAAACTATAAAAGATTAGGGCCTAAATCTCCACAAAATAGAAATGAACAGTTATCAGTAGGACTGGTTAGAACCTTGACTGTATTTTAAGATTCCTTGGTGATTCCTTTGCAACCAGGTTTAAGAACCATTATTTTATACAATACACAAGGTTATAGAAGTATACTGAATGTTCACATACTCTGACCCAGTAATTCCATTCTGAAATGTTTGCCCAAGAGAAACTTATATGTGAGCCTAAGAGACATATATAGAAGTGTTCCTAATGTACTATTTGATTGTCCCAAATGTCCATTGATTGTAGAGTAGATAAATTTTAACATATTCAGTAGTGAAATATCTCATAGTAAATAAAAAAAGTCTGTGAACTATGGTTACATTTATATATATGAATCTTGGAAATAAGCAGGCCGGGTAAGGTAGCGCACACCTGTAATCTCAGCACTTGAGAGGTTGAGGTGGGTGGATTGCCTAAATTCAGGAGTTCAAAACCAGCCTGTGCTATACTGAGACCCCATCTCTAAAAAATAGCTAGGTGGGGGCGGCACCTGTAGCTCAAAAGGGTAGGGCGCCAGTCCCATATGCCAGAGGTGGCGGGTTCAAACCCAGCCCCGGCCAAAAAAAAAA